CATCACCGTCTTGAGGGCTTCCATATCGACAGAGACCATCGCGGCAATCTCCCCATACTGAAAAGAACAACTCTCCTGGCGCCGCCCGTGTTTGCACGGTCGCCAGCGGTATCAGTATGTCGATGGCTCCCCTGGGGGAAGAGACTTCCTCAGGCCCCTGAAGCGCGGACCGAGCCTGAAGCAGACTCGCGCTGACGTGGCCAGCTGCCTTGATAAATGGCAACTTGAGCCAATATTGCTTGAGCCAGAATAGCCACGGATGACGACGATGATGATGATGATGATGATGATGATGATGATGATGATGATGATGATGATGATGATGATGATGATGATGATGATTATGATAATGATGACGGCGATGATGCTGATGATGATGATGGTGATGGCGATGGTGATGGTGATGATGATGATGATGCTGATGATGATGATGCTGATGATGATGATGAGGAGGAGAAAAAGGAGGAAGATGAGGACGAGGGGGAGAAGGAAGAGAAGGAAGGGCAGGAGGTAGTGGAGGCAATCCCGAAGGGAAATGTAGATTCCGTGCCACAAGAAAGCTTGACCCAAATTCGTTCGCGGGCCCTTCACATTTCACTTGGGGCGGTTTTCACGGGCCGCCCCGTGGGCCCGCCCCCTCTGGGTTCACGAAACACTGTGCAGGGTGGCGCATGCGAGCGTCGCCACTGGGCCCTTCGGTGGGGCTCCCCATGGGGCCACGAAGCGTTGTTTTGGATGGTACTGCGTGGGGGGGGGGGGGGGGGCGTTGTGGCCTTCGGTGGAGCTTCCAATGGGGCTACGAAGCGCTATGCTGGGTGGGGCGAACGCACGCGAACGTCCCCACTGTGGCCTTCGGTGGAGTTCCCCATGGGCCGACGAAGCGCTGTTCTGGGTGGGGCGGACGCCACCGAATCTCTGGTGGAGTTCCCTATGGGACCACGAAACGATTTACTGCGTGGGACGGACGCATGAGAACGTTGCTTCTGGGGCCTGCGGTGGGGTCGTCTATGGGCCCACGAAGCGCTGTACTGCGGGGCGGGCGCAGGCAAACGTCGCCACAATGGGGCGGAGTCATGCGAACGTCGCTATTGAGACCTTCGGTGGAGCTCCCTATTGGGCCACGAAGCGCTGTCCTTGGTGGGGCGGGCGCATGTTAACGTCGCTGTTGTGGCCTTCGGTGGAGCTCCCTACGTGGCCACGAAACGCTGTACTGTCGCCACTGTGGCTTTCGGTGGAGCTTCCTATGGGGCCACGAAGCGCTGTACTGGGTGGGGCGGACGCATGCGACCGTCGCCACCAAATCTTCGGAAGAGTCCGCACTGGGGCAATGAAACGCGTTACTAGGTGGGGCGGACGCATGCGAACATTGTTTGGGGGCCGTTCGGTGGAGCTCCCCATGGGCCCAACAAGCGATGTGCTGAGTGGGGAGGGCGCATGCGAACGTCACTTTTGGGGCCTTCGGTGGAGCTCCCTGTGGGGCCACGAAACGCTGTGCTGGGTGGGGCGAACGCATGCGAACGTCGCCACTGGGGCCCTCGGTGGGGCTGTCTATGGAGTCACGAAGCGCGGTACTGGGCGGGGCGGACGCGTGCGAATGTCGCTCTTGAGGCCTTCGGAGGAGCTCCTTTCTTGTGCCACGAGGCGTGTGAGGGGTGTGCCAGATTGGTTGGCATGCGGAGAGCAGAAGCACGCAGGGGGGGGGGGAGGGAGGAGAAGGAAGAGGAGGAGAAGGAACAGGAGCAGGACGCGGGGCGCTGCCTCTTCAAAACGAGGACCGAACACCACACAATGGTTGGGAACCAGGGAAATCAGCCAGCCAGCCGGGAGGAGGGGGGGAGCGAGACACAAGAAAGAAGTGTAGAGCGACGTGAAGAAGTGCAACGCCATCAGGAATGCACGTGCGAGGTCATGGTGCGCAGGTCCAACCGCTCGGCACCAGCCAGCATGAGCAATGTCATGGAACACCTCCAGGGAAACGCGAACGAATGTCTTGGAGGCCGTAATTCGCGCAGAGGCCGGTACATCCAAATTGGCCATCACCTGCGAAAACGGTGGCCCTCACAGGTCACTGGCGCGATGCGTCGGGTGCCCGAGCGAAGCCACTAAGCGGCAGCAGCTGAAATGAGCTATGACACTAACATTAGTTCAAACGAACGTCAAATGAAGATCAAAACGCTCTGCTGAATCCAGAAGTGCTGAAGACCGCCAACCACGAAACTATGAATCACACAACTGCGCCGGAAGTGGTGCGTCACCGTGCTAGCCGTTGAGGTCGTGCAGCGGCCTCCCAAGATACCATCATGCCCGGGCCCGGTGATGAAAGAGTCGACATTGTGCAGAGAGCGTTTGCGGTGCAAGCTGTAGTGCCCCTCCGATCTTTTGACGAAGAACACCTGTACGCCTGAAGTGATCAAATTAATTCCTCTGGTCTTTATTCGTCAGATCCAAACTGACAGGCTGGTCGCAGCAACAGAACGCAGACATCGATAGCGGATGGGCCGGCACGCCCAAATAAACGTCGATAGCGGATGGGCCGGCACGCCCAAACAGACATCGATAACGGATGGGGCAGCACGCACAAACAGTAGAAATTCAAAACTCGCAATTCACATGCGAAGCGTAAGCCTTGACCAAGCCAGGGGGCCGCAGCATGATGTCGTGCCGCTCGGGCTGCTTGGAGCCGTGAGGCTCTCCTCGCGCGGGCCGTCTCACGGTGGGCCGCAATGCGAGCCAGCTGCTCTGGTGCGACCGCCGGTGGCAGAGGTCCAAGCGGAGGGGGGACACCAGGTAAAACGCCGGCTTCGTCGAGGGCATCCGCCACATCCTGCTAGGCAGGTGCAGAAAGGAAAATTCTCGGCAACAGGCTCGTCAACCACGGCAGGACCAGGTGCCCAGAGCCGATGCTCTCCATGATCGGAGCGGGATTTGCGAGGATGACAATCAGCGTCGGCGACGTGCGGGGCCCATGAAGCCCCGTGTGGGGCCCGATCCACATAGAAAACCAGCAGCTCCGCTTAGGCGTCCCGGGGTCCAGCAAATCTTCCGGGTACGTTTCAGGGTCAGGGTTCCAGAAGGCCTCGATAGTCAGCATCGTGGACCTTGCAAGGGCAGCGCCAACAGGGGCGGGCATATCTTTCTGGCTGGTGTCAATTCCGGCTGCACTGAGTCCTTCGCGCTCTGATGCGCGCCCCTGCCATGCAGACATTGACCTCTCCCTGGCGTGCCGGCGAGGTAATCAGAAAAGCTAGGCGAGCGGCCGCCCGAATTCGCACTTATCAGTATCAGATGCGCCTGATGGGCACCAGCATAAGAGTATGAAGTCTCGCCCACGAGTATGAACTGGGCGCTCGAGCATCCCATTCGCATGGTCGTAAATGCTCCAACCACTCTCTCGTGCCCACTTTAGCTTGCTACGCCAGGAGGGTGACCAGAGCTATGCCCAACGTGCTTCCTATTCGGAGCTAGCATGCCTGTCGTGCTGTAGCATTGCAGACTCAGGGACGGGCCAAATCCCGCAGCCCACCGCGCCAGGGACCACCTATCACCAGGAGGACCGCCGCCGGTGAGGACAACTTGAAGAGCGAGCACATGGCTGGACCAAACGGCCAGGGAACCAACAACCGTCACGCTGCCAACGCTGAAGACCACGATGACGACATCGGTCACAGGATGCGCACCCTCTAGCTGCGCCCAGCAATCGCAGTCGAGCCGGCGCCCGCACCACAGGTGCGCACGGTAGAGCTCTGCTCTCTTGACTTTGACTGGAAATCGCGCGGCCATGAAACCAGAGTGCGCCGACGTACACGTCGTTCATTTCCAATCGTGCTCATTTCTAATTGCGCTCGTTTCTAATTCTTCCTGGCCCCCTAGTGGCCAGGAAGAGGCCCAGGATAGAACATTTAGAAATGAGAGGATCTTGGCCCCCCAAAAAAGCAAAGAAATTCAGAATAATTAGAAGTGGTGTGTATGAAACAAATCCGAAAAATATCGAACGGGGACGGCGTCACGGGCCGGAGCAGCTTCCTTTCGCGGCTCCGTGAGAACAGCCCTCGCCTCATCGGACAGTGCAGCGTCAGAGTGCAGTAAGACAGCCTGGGCCTGGGCCTGAGCGGGAGCGAGCTGCTGAAGTGAAACCTGCGCCAGACTTGGCAGGATTCCGGGAGCCTCGAAGGTCAGGACGGCAACGCGCAGCCTGAGCTCTGCGTGGGCGCAGGGAGCACCATCCTCAACGTCCGGGGCACTCGCCGCAGAGCCCAAGGGGATGCAAGCCACCAGGCAGACTGGAGTATCAATCGAGATGTGATCGATGAGCAACGCGCGATGGTGAAAGACACGAAAGCATGCCTGGCATTGCGGTTGGGTCTGCGACCAACGACGAGCAAATCGCGAATGCTGACGTTGTGCTCGCGCAAATGCGCGTGCGAGGGCCCGGTGATCTGTCGAAAGGTTGAGGGGGGGAGGAGGAACGGCGTGGACGAGGAGGTAAGAGAGACAGGAAGGAGCAGGGAGGAGAGGGCGGCGGAAATGGAGGAGCCACGCGCCTTCCAATCAGCAAGGACGGGCCCCACACTGGCCAGACGGGCCCGCCACAGCGCACCACCGTCAGTCCAAAAGCTCTGCCTCGCACGACCCGAGGACTTCCCGCAAGGGTTCCCCATGCCGGCTTCACCGGCTCTCTCTGGAGGAATTCACTGCAACGGCCTCGCGTCCAAAACGAAGGGCAAACCCACGCCCCCATCTTTGAGGGGGCCCTGTGGCGGGGAGGAAGAGGAGGATGAGGAGGATGCTCGGGAAGAGGGCAGGACAAGACAGGGCAATTACCTGCTCGTCGACCGAAGACGGCCCGACAAGGACGCGCACGCGGACGCAAAGGGTCAGCAACCTCTCACGGAGGACCTGTGACACGACTGAGCATGTGAAGGGCGGGAAGCACGACGACGTTGTCAGGAGGTGGCGCAGGATAACAACGTCCGGGGCACCCTCGACTCGGGATCGAACGATCAAAACGTTGATGGAATGGAAATGGAACCTACATCAGCTGCGTGCAGAGCGAAGTGAAAGCTCCTCCGCCCCTGCCTCACCACATTTCGGATCGGGCGGTCCCGCGCGGGGGGGGTCCCGGACGCCCCCTGACGAGAGTCAGAAGTGCATAGAAAAGCAAAAGCGCGGCGCCGAAGAAAGTCACCGCCGTGCCCCCCGCGCCAGCGCGGCCAGTACGCCCTATTCTGTGAACGTAATCCTCCACAGTCTTGGGCAAGTCGTAGTTGACCACGTACCGGATATCCTGCGCTACGACGGAAGCCGAACAATAAAACAAACTTCGGAAGTGCAGGGGGTACCAGGGGTGCCGGTACTCCAGACGCTCATGTCGGCTGACACGGGCTGGCCCCCCTGCTGTTGTATGGATCCTCCTTTCTCACATTCACTGCAGGAGACGGACATGTGAATTGGAAGAGGCAATCAACTGAAACACAACGGCGGGAGCCGTGCGGGTAAACACGGTGCTCGCGAAGTCTGGGACTAAAAACGACCACTGGGCTTGGTCCTGCCTTTGGCATGCCAGAGGCGTTTATTACACTGATGTGGGCAACGCCCTACAGCAAATGCTGCCCGATATCGACCGCGACTACTCTTGCGCAGGCGACGTCGGTTTTTAGCTATCGACCTTCGCTGATAATATGGCGGCTAGGCGTTTCCAATATGAATCAGGAAGTGATGTCAATCATCGTGCCCTTTCGTTCCGACCCTACTTCGGCTGTCTCGATGCTCACTCTTGTCCACCCTCTCTGCTGTTTCAAGCCACTACAGCCCGCTGGATTAAAAAGTGGAGACCGTGGGGATCGACAAAGACAGGGTTGGCCTCCCGTTGGGCCGCGGGGCCCCGGGACAATGTTGGAGTTGGGGCCGATTTGGGAATTTCAAAATGCATCTCTCACCCCTGTGGATATCATAACGGCAGGATGGGATCAGCGTCTGAAAATGCGATTCTGCCCGAGACTTCCTCGCGAAAACTTTCAGATCGCTTCCCAGGGCGATCTGAAAATTTGCAATGGTATCTGAGATGGCGATTTCGCCTGGGACTTCTTCATGATAAAGTTTCAGACCGATCTTCATGCCGCTTGAGAGTGGCGATATCGCCAGAAAATTCCTCACGGAATCTTTCCCGGCCGCTTTTCACGCCGCCAGAGAGTGGCGATTTTGTTTGGGCTGTCCTAGCAACCGCGCGTCTCGTCCACCCCTGCGGCGCCGTCCCTCCGTTCGGGTCACGAGCCTATCTTGGAGTCATTTTGGGATCGATCGAAGATCGAAGGTCCAGGTTTTATCGGTTGGCGAAGACCCAGGGGTTGTTCCCTCGCATAACGCCGATCACCACTTTTTAACCCATGGGGTGGTAGCAATGAGTGGTCTGGGCCGCCTTGATGTCCAGCCCCCGCTGGGCAACGTCTGTGGCGACCAGGATGTGCACCTTGCCAGTCCTGGAGGAGAGAGGGGGCAGATGGAGGCATCGGGCGAAGGAGGACGACCACGGTCCCCTCCGCACACCTCACCGGCCTCGCGCGCCGCTCTCCAGCCCGTGCCCTTCTTGCCTGTGGCCCCGGCGAGCTCTCGGCCTCCGGGGCCTCCGAAACCTTTCCCTCCCTCCCTCCCTCCCTCCCTCCCTCCCTCCCTCCCTCTTCCTCCTCCTCCTCCTCCTCCTCCTCCTCCTCCTCTTCCTCCTCCTCCTCCTTCGCTGCGCGAGGCGCCCTCCCTGAGAGACGAGCGCCCCGGGGGCCCGCAGAATGCCGGCGGGGAGCTCCGCTGGGGACGGGGCTGCCCTCCGCCCTTCGAGCCGTGAGAAGTCCCACCGGCCCTCTGGGCGCGGGTGGTCTCTGGAGCGCTCCCTCCTCCAGCCCCCCTGCTTCCCCTTCGGGGAGAGGTCGACCAGTGTTCCTTATTCGTGTACGCCCCCTCCCCCGCCCGACTGGTATAGAGCGCTCCCTCCTCCAGCCCCCCTGCTTCCCCTTCGGGGAGGGGTCGACCAGTGTTCCTTATTCGTGTACGCCCCCTCCCCCGCCCGACTGGTATAGAGCGCTCCCTCCTCCAGCCCCCCTGCTTCCCCTTCGGGGAGGGGTCGACCAGTGTTCCTTATTCGTGTACGCCCCCTCCCCCGCCCGACTGGTTTAGAGCGCTCCCTCCTCCAGCCCCCCTGCTTCCCCTTCGGGGAGGGGTCGACCAGTGTTCCTTATTCGTGTACGCCCCCTCCCCCGCCCGACTGGTTTAGAGCGCTCCCTCCTCCAGCCCCCCTGCTTCCCCTTCGGGGAGGGGTCGACCAGTGTTCCTTATTCGTGTACCCCCCCTCCCCCGCCCGACTGGTATAGAGCGCTCCCTCCTCCAGCCCCCCTGCTTCCCCTTCGGGGAGGGGTCGACCAGTGTTCCTTATTCGTGTACGCCCCCTCCCCCGCCCGACTGGTATAGAGCGCTCCCTCCTCCAGCCCCCCTGCTTCCCCTTCGGGGAGGGGTCGACCAGTGTTCCTTATTCGTGTACGCCCCCTCCCCCGCCCGACTGGTATAGAGCGCTCCCTCCTCCAGCCCCCCTGCTTCCCCTTCGGGGAGGGGTCGACCAGTGTTCCTTATTCGTGTACGCCCCCTCCCCCGCCCGACTGGTTTAGAGCGCTCCCTCCTCCAGCCCCCCTGCTTCCCCTTCGGGGAGGGGTCGACCAGTGTTCCTTATTCGTGTACGCCCCCTCCCCCGCCCGACTGGTATAGAGCGCTCCCTCCTCCAGCCCCCCTGCTTCCCCTTCGGGGAGGGGTCGACCAGTGTTCCTTATTCGTGTACGCCCCCTCCCCCGCCCGACTGGTTTAGAGCGCTCCCTCCTCCAGCCCCCCTGCTTCCCCTTCGGGGAGGGGTCGACCAGTGTTCCTTATTCGTGTACGCCCCCTCCCCCGCCCGACTGGTTTAGAGCGCTCCCTCCTCCAGCCCCCCTGCTTCCCCTTCGGGGAGGGGTCGACGAGTGTTCCTTATTCGTGTACGCCCCCTCCCCCGCCCGACTGGTTTAGAGCGCTCCCTCCTCCAGCCCCCCTGCTTCCCCTTCGGGGAGGGGCCGACCATTGTTCCTTATTCGTGTACGCCCCTCCCCCGCCCGACCCGCGACAAACCTGGGACCATGACAACATACCCTCGCCATGCCTGTCACAAACAGAATGCAACATCCACTTTGTACCGAATTCTGGATCATGCGCGGATGCGTCGCGATCACGTAGCATTGGTTTCTCAGAGGGACGGCGGGGGTGACAGCATATGACCTGCTGTGCGCAGTGCCGGCACGCCCCACGATCCTTGACAACAGAGACAAATTAATATTTCACCGAAATCTGGAACAAGCTTGGATGCCCCGCGATCACTTGGAATCAGCTGTTGGCAGGGACGGCGGGGGTGCTGGCATATTGCCAACTGTGTGCACTGCCAACGCTCCCAACCACCCCTTGCAACAAAGAAAAACACAGTGCACATTGCACTAACGTCTTGATCATCCACGGACGCCCCGTAATCACTTTGCGTTGGTCGTTGACAGGGACGGCGGGGAGGGCGGCATGTTGCCTGCTGTGTGCAGGCCCACCACCCTTTCAACAACATCTGCAACATTCACTTTGCCAGAGACGGCGGGTGGGTTGGCATACTGCCTGCTTTGTGCAGGCCTACTGTCCCGTTCGAAACAAAATGCAAAGTGACTGCGGGTGCACGCCTGGATCCCTCCCTCCTGCCTGCCAGCATCTGTGGTGGGCCACCTCGATCCCGCAGCCGGCTTCTAGCCGCTGCGTCCCGCTCTACCCATCCCGGCGTGCGCGCGCGTGCGCGGAGTCCTGAACTGGTGGAGGGCGCCGTCGCGCTGGCGCTGCTCCTGCCGCGCCCCCCCTCCCCCCGAGGAGGGAGGCGGCTCGCGCTGGTCGGCCGACACGGCCGCGGAGACCGCGGGGGCGGATCGGGTGCACCGACGAGGGGGGTGACCCTCCTCTTGGAATCGAGCTAACTACATGTTTTCGTTCGTTTGCGCTGTTTCCGTCTTTGGACCTGGTGGCATCGACTTGGGGCCCTCTGAAAGGCAATTCGGGGTCATGGGTAGCGGGGGAGGGGGAAGGCGCAGGAGCAGGAACAGCAAACGCAATAGCAGCAGCATGGATAATGATATGCTACATGAAAAGATGAAACATTTGATGAGAAGGATGATCTATGAAAAGAGGCAAAATTTGAGGAGAAAGAATAGGAGCAGCAATAGCTACATAAACATAGCGATGATGATGGAGAGGCGGGCGGAGTGGAGGACGAGAGCAGAAGGAGGAGCGGAAGGCCAGAGGATCAAGGGGAGGAAAGGGGAGCACGAGGAGCGACGACAACGACGATAGCGGCGGCGGCAGCGCCGACGACGACGACGAGCAGCCGCGGCGGCGGCGACGACGAGCAGCGGATGCGGAGGCGGCCACGACGACCATGACCACGACCTCCACGAGCGGCGGCCGCGGGGGCTGGCCCTGGGAATCGAACGTCCATTGAGGTCCGCTTGCTTCCTCCCCCTTCCCTGGCGATCGGAGACGCTCGCAACCACTTAGCGCCGATCGTCGACCATCGGGCCAAAGTAGTGACGATGCTTCGGGACTGTCTAGTACTTGTTACGACTAGAAAGAACTCAAGAGCGCTTCTGGATGCAGTGGGCTCTCCTACGTCTCCATGCAGATGTTCGAGAAAATACAATCAGGCCTATCACGTCGATCACCCTCCTCTATCTCCTCATCCTCCTCCTTCTCCTCCTCCGGCCTCGTCCTCCATCCTCCTACCTCGTCCTCCGTCCTCCTACCTCGTCCTACATCCTCCTACCTCCTTGTGCCCCCCCATACCCCTTTTCCTACCTCTTGTTCATCCTTCGCCTCGTCGTCCTCCTCCTCCTCCTTTTCCACCTCCTCCTCCTCCTCCTCTTCCTCCTCCTCCTCCTCCGAAGAAGAAGAAGAATACCCAAGTAGACCGAATCCGCCAGCCCCCTTGCGGGGCCACCATGAGGATTGCAGCTCACTGTTCCAGCTGCAGATTCCAGCTTCCACTGTTATAATCCTGCTTTCTGTTTCCTTATGGTTAATCCGTAAGGGCTTCGCCCCCATGCCGCCGGCCCCCCTCTTAGAATGGGACTTGCCAGAGCTGTGTTGGGATGTCTGGACGCTGACGTGGAGCAATGTCGGGACTTCACGCGCGGGCCAAAATGAACGTACGAATGTTTATGGCTTCGGTGGCGCGAATATTGTGTAAGTTGCGAAGGTTTGTGGCCTCGGGGACGCGAGCATTATGAATATAAAATAGGTTGTGGCCTCGGGGACGCAAATATTGCTTAATTGACAAAGGCTGATTGCCTTGGGGGCGCAAGCACCGCGTGATTTACGAATGTTTATGGCCTCGGGGACGCGAATATTGTGATTTGCGAAGGTTTGTGGCCTCGGGGACGCAAGTATGGTGGAATCTACAAAGGTTGATGGCGGTGGGGACGCAACTATCTATTTCCAAAAGTTTATGGATTCGGGGGCGCTAATAATGTGTAATGTGCGATGGTTTATGGCATCGGAGACGCGAATATTGTATGATTTATTTGCGTCTGTGGCCTCGGGGATGCAAATATCACATAATTTACGAAGGTGTATGGCTTCGGGGACGCGAACGCTATGCAATTTACAAACAAGTTTATGGCCTCGGGGACGCGAATACGGCATAATTTGCCAGGGATCGTGGCCCCGGGGACGCGAATCTCATGTATCTTAAATGTCCCACGCCCCCCCCCCCACGAATTCTGAGAACCCTCCCAGGGCGTGGTGCAAAAAAAACCATTGGGGGGTCCCACCCCTCGCGCGGACAGCAACAATTAACAGTAAGGAAGCAGAAAGCAGGACTGTAACAGCGGAAGCTGCAAACTACAACTGGAACAGGGAGCTGCAGCTCTCATCCTCGCAGCCTGGTGGCCCCGCAAAGGGGGTCGGCGGATTGCTGCTGTCCGCGCAAGGGGTGGGAGCCCCAAACAGGTTTGTTTACCACGCCCTGGGAGGGTTCTCAGAATTCGTGGTGGGGCCGAAGCCATAATCCCTATAATATTACACACGATTCGCGTCCCCGAGGCCATACACCTTCGTAAATTACGCCGTATTCGCGTACCCGAAACTAGAATCTCTTGTAAGTTACACGATATTTGCGTCCCCGAGGCCACACACCCTCGTAAAGTATACCGTGCACGCGTCCCCGAAGCTACAATCAATTATACAGTGTTAGCACCCCGAAGCCGTAAACATTAGAAAATTAAGTAATATTCGCATCCCCAGGGCCCCATAGCCACGAACCTACGTAAATTACACCATGCTTGCGTCCCTGAGGCAACAAGCCCTCACAAATTACACCATATTCGCGTCCCTGAGGCCATACACCTTCGTACATTACACAATGTTTGCGCCCCCGAGGCCATCAACCCTCGTGCATTATGTGATATGACGGTCCCCGAGGCCACACACCCTCGTAAAGTACGCGATACTCACGTCCCCGAAGCCATAGACCATAGCAAATTACATAATACTCGCGCCACCGAAACCATCAACCCTCGTCAATGAATACTGGCCCTCGAGTGAAGTCCCGATATTGCTTTACGCCAGCGTCCAGACATCCCAACACAGCTCTGGCAAGTCCCATTCTGAGAGAGGGGGGCCGGCGGCATAGGGGCGCAGCCCTTACGGATATAATATCTAATCATACCAAAACAACACCAGGTAATGCCATATAGAAGTCGCAGGTATTCAAGAGCGCCCAGGAAAACTGGATAAAACAGCAGGATACCCAAACATTCGAAAGGATGCCCCATAAACACCCAGCCCCCAAGAACACCTTCTAATTCAGAACAGTACTCAGGCGTTCCCACGCATGCAACATAAAATCCCATGAGACAGGAGAACCCCCCGATAGACCAGACTACCACAGAACGACCAATGATGCAACATAGCATCCAAATAACACAAACTGCCTCTGGGAAGCCTCGCAGAAACTTTGCGGAAACTTCACACAAGCTTACATGTTGTTTGCGAAACTTCTCAGAAGTTTCTTGGGAGCCTCCCCGAAGCTTCTCAGAAACTTCTGAGCAGCTTCGCAGAAAGTTCTCGGACGCCTCTCTGGTTGTAATCCGGTGTTCGCCTTGCGGATTTACGGTCGGAGTCCTGCACGTCGGGGCCAGTCCCGCTCTGGTGGTTGTGATCCGCCCCAAGTGGTTCGTGAACTGGGTCTGCTCAGGGCTGCGCGTCCCTGCCCGCACTGAGGGGCATCGGGCGGAGCGGGTGCTGCCCGTCGGCTCTCGCGAAGAGCACTGCTGCAAAAGCCGCCCCGACTGATCTCCTCAGCGGGAAGGTGGACCGCCGGACCACTCCCTATCGATCGCCCCCCGGAGCACGACGGCAGGTGCAAGCCAGTCGGCCCAAGAGCGCAGGGGCCTGAGGTCCCTGGAGCTCCGCAAAAGTCCCCGGTGCATGCTCGGCGAGAACCGTTCCTGGGCATGCTGTAGACCAGCGCGCGCCTCTGCTGACCGACCCCCTTCCGTGACTGTCTCTCCTCTTCCTGAAAAGGGAATTAGAGGATCGCTACAGAATTGATTTACCCCAAAATTGATTAGTTCGCCGAATCTGCAAACAAAAATGTATAGTGTTCGTAGATCATCAAACATTCTACGTACGTTTCGTCGATGCGGCGAAAATTTGAGCTTTGGGGTGAATCAACTCTGCAGTCGATCCACTACTCGAAGAAGGGGAGAGGAGGAACCGAGGTGGATCCGTACAGCCTGGGCCACCAAATTTCGCGCATCGCGCCCCGCGATGCGCTGCGCGCGGTCACCTTCGCGCCCTCGCGCCGCACGCTGGAGAAGACCAGCCCAGCGGCCCCGACCTCGACGTGCTCACCGCGGCTGTGTTCGCGCCCCCAGGGGTGACCTGCATTGGGGAACCAAGAGCTACTGATGCCGCTGCTCCCTGGACCTCTCCCGCGGTGCGCTTTGGCCGGAATTTCTGCGCGAATCCGGCCGTGGTCGCGAAGGCCCCCAGGAGGCTCAAAGAGCGAAGCCGCACGAAAAGAGTGGTGCCGGTACCTGTGTCTCCCTGACAGCTAGCCCCGGGGCTCGCGGCCCACCTTGTCTCCGTGGATGGCCGCGGCCTGGAAGCGCTCGCCGCGCAGCTCCCGGCAGAGCGCGTCGGCACCGCGCTTCGTGTCCTGCCGCCGCGCGCGCCTGCTCGCACGAGCGCGCGAGCGTCGGGCACGCAGCAGCCCGGGTCGGCCAGGGCCCCGTCACGAGGCCTGGCCGGCCAGGTGGCATCTCTTGCCAGCCTCGAACATATCCCCATCCCTAAGATCGACATGCCAAAAAGCGATGCCAATCTCAGGGATGCGCCCTCAAAAAATAAGGGAATCCCTAAGATTGGCACCGTGATGAGGAGATGCCCAGCATAGGGATAGGGATATGTTCCAGGCTGGTAAATCTCTGGAGAGTCAAGAAAATGCAAGCATGATTCGTGTCCGTATCCTCTGCGTCTGAGAGTTTTGGGCTCCCTTTGCGAAACCAGGGGCGCCGTAGATATGGGTAAAAATCTGGCCCCAAGAGGCTAGATGTTTATCCAGATCCACTGCGCCTCGGCCATTTTAGAACCCCTTGCCACAAACTCCAAGACGCACTGGCCACGGATACAGAAATCTTGCTCGCAAAAAAAACAGCATAAACATAAACTTTCGACGATCCGCGCGGATCGTCGGATCTGCGCTGGACCTCCCGGGCGGCGCTTCCGGCCCCGCCCCTGGCGCGCTCCGCGCGCCAAGAAGGAGGGGTCCAGCGCAGATCCAAGAAATCCACGCGGACCTCCGAAAATGTATGTCCAGGCCGCTTTCCCTTCTCCGAGTCTCCCAGAAAACGGGCCAGCAGAAGGCGGAAAGGAAGAATCGGCCCCACGTGGCTCTCAAACCCGGTGCAGCCACATGCAGAAAAACTCCCCCCCCAGTTCCCTGAGGAATCGACGTCCGTGAGCGCCGACCCCCGATGAGTGAGCCCCGAAATTGCGCGGCACGGGGCGCAGACGGACATGCATGCTACCAGGGCGCGAACTAAACAGAGTTATCCGTGTTCGTTCTGTTTTCCCTCGCTCTGTCTTCGTTCCGCCTTTGCGGCAAAGCGGAATCAGCACGACAACCGTCCACGAAATCGCCTAAAGCCCGTTCAGCTCGGGCCCTGAATGCTACGGTCGGGAGCCTTTGCTTAGCGTGTCGCGGCGGCAGCCAGGGCGACACGCCATGCCCTGCCAGCGGAAAGCGGGTCGCTCCGCCCCGCGGGGCGGGAGGCCGAGAAAGGCTCGGGGCGTCGACGCCTGAGGAACGGAACGTGGATAGCGTGTCGCTCCGAAGCGCGGTGGGGCAGAACTGGCGGCGCAAGACACTAAGCCAAAATTCCTGGCCGTCATGCCACGTGCTCGCGTGGCTCCCCAGGTGGTATGGCGAGAGGGCGTCGGCCACGGAGCGTATACCAGAAGACTTCCTGCGCGGGCGCGTCGCCCCTGCAGAGCCGGCGGTCACACAATACAAGTATGTCTGTCGGAAGCCGGGCGAGGGCTGGCAGATCCGTGGCTGCTGAAACGGTCTTCCTGGAAGAGAATCAAATTCCGGAACAAAACTCGGCACACTGAATAGTAGACGGGCTGCTTCCCGGAAGAAAAAACACTTTCCCAGAGCTCCGTTTTAGCAGCCACGGGTTTGCCAGCCTTCGCCTGGCTTCTGAGTCTGAGTGATGCCAGACTCAGGGCGATCAACGGTGCAAACGGGCATAATTGAAATAAGACGCAGGGGGTCAAAACCCCTGCACCGAGCGAGACACTGATCAAGCCTTGAGAATGCAAGCTGGTTGCCCTCTTGGGTTCCCTCCGCGCCGAGGGCACAGACCTGCAGGAGGACCCTCAAATCCGGGCGTCGCACAAAATCTTGACGGTCTTTCGCATTTCCGGTGTCTGGAGGCCAATTCCGGACCCGTGACCGTCGAACGCAACCCAGAATGAACATCTGGCTCATGGGGAAGAGAGGGGCCGAAAGCTCCACAGGGCCCGCGCTACGAAACAATAGCGACGCCAGAGGAGGGGGGAGCAGAAACATTCTCTGACGCCTTTGCCATGTTGGGCGAAGCGCAGGACCCTCGCCATTCACGGCTGGACTCGCCCCTTACTCCTGGCCAGAACGCGCTTTGGGGGGCAGGTCTGAGCCCCCGCTCGGGCAGTTCGGAGCTCCAGGCGTCGCGCCCAAACGTTACCACAAACGCTTCTTCTTGCACGCTCGTCGCCTGGAGCCTGGAGGCTTCGATGCTCGCCCTGGGGACCTTCCTGGAGCCACTCCTACTCATGCGTCGATGCGGCGGCCCCAAGACGGCCCAAGAAGCCTCCAAGAGGGTCCCCAAACGGCCCGAGAGGGCTCCAAGAGAACCCCAAGAGGGCCCCAAGAGGGCCCCAACACGGCCCAAGAGGGCTCCAAAACGGCCCAAGAGGCGCCCAAGACTGCTCCAGGATGGGAGGGGCCCAGAAGAGGCCCACTTTGGCACCAAGAGCTACCCAAGAGTGCTCCAAGAAACTACATGCTGAACCCCTGACGGTGGAAGACGCCTGAATGACCCTTCCCTCTTCCTTCGACCCGTGTCCCCTGGGACGGCTCCAAAAGGGCTCACCCCATGCCCACAAGAGGGCCTCCAACAGGACCCCAAGAGGACTCCGAACGCTTCCACAGTGGCCCCCAAAAATGCCCCACCATGGCACCAAGAAGTTCATAAGGGCAAACGGCCCCAAGCGTCCCTCGTGGTTGTCTCCTGCCGTTGTCGGTGTCCTCCTTTTTGACGCTGCGCGAACTCAAGCCGATGTGCTGTAGCATTCGGCGGGCGAGAACAATGTTTCCGACGTAGGCGTAGCGCGAAGCATTACGCGTGGTCGGCGCAGCAGGAAAGGGACAATGCATGAGGGAGAGAGAGGCAACACTAATGTAGGCCCAGCGGCAGAAGTATGCGCTGACCGCATGGTTTCCTCCTCCTCGTCCTCTTCCACAATGGTGCCGTCGTCGCCCCCTTCTTCATCTAGCTGTCTCCTATATCGTGTGCGTGCTCCTACTCCCCCCGCCCACCTTCCTCTTTTTTTGCGCCCCCTCCTTCTTTTCCTTGTTTCTCCAACTGCTGCTCCACATCATCTTCCTTCTCCATTTTCAGTGGCGGGATCATCACTCCGAGTTATGGCCATGATAAGACAGATTTTCAGCTTGGGATCGACTGTCGACTATTCCACGTGCTGCTCCTACACTTTCCTGTTGAAGGCAAACCGCGTGGTGATCGTTTCTGGGTGGGCTGGTAGGGGCGCGCTAGACTCCACCAATCTGAGATTGTGAAACCACGGGGCTCGCCAACTGAAACACGCCAACTTCGAACAACATATCAATGAACACAAGGTCGCCGCTCCGTGAAGACCAGGATGCGAGGAGAATCGCCGCCAGGAGGACATGCTTCGTGAAGCCAGTCAAAGAAGCGCTGCCGCTTGTCTAAATCCCTCCCTCCCCATCCCACTGCAACAACGTAGCCGTGCTTGCTTACGCACGCGCGTGCATGTATACAGACATGTGCAGAGATATGGGTATACACAGATGCATAGACACATACATACAAACATGCTTGCATGAACACATGTCAATGTATACAGGTATATCGGAATGACGTGGCCAAGCGGCCATTCACTGTCCCAGGGTGCGTGGCTGAAACAGGATTCCGCGGCGCGGATTGTTGTTGTTGTTGGTGTTGTTATTGGTGCTGAACTCTCATTTCTAAAAGCATGTACTGTTGATCCCACCTTCGGGGCACATGGTGTTTTTCAATTAAAGTGCCCTTCCCGGGGCCCGCACCCTGTTTTTGACAGGACAAATCTGGAATAGAGTTGTTGGCCCCCTGTTTAGAAGAACAGCGGGTCGCACCTCATATTTCCTCACAATGTATTGAATCTCGCGTTGGACTTCCTCACAATGTATTCAGACATCGCGCTCAGGCGTGGGAATTCCTCGCAAGTTATTCTCTTGCACAGGGTGTCTAGAGCTCCGACCACTTTATTTCGGCACCGCACCCCCCCTTCATCATCATCATCATCACCAGCAGCATCATCATCATCATCATCATCATCATCATTATCATCATCCTCATCATCATCATCATCATCACCATCATCCTCACCATCATCACCATCATAATCACCATCATCATCATCATCATCAGCACCCACATCATCATCATCATCATCATCATCATCATCATCATCATCATCATCATCATCATCATCATCATCATCATCATCATGCGCCCCCTCCGTCTCAGCGCCCTCCCGCGGCTCCAGCGCTCGCCCAGTGCCCCCTCCGCCCCGACCACTTTATTTCGGCACCGCACCCCCCCCGCCCCGCCCCCTCCCCCGCGCCGTCTCAGCGCCCCCCCGCGGCTCCAGCGCCCGCCCAGTGCCCCCTCCGCTTCGACCACTTTATTTCGGCACCGCACCCCACCCCCGCTCCGCCCCCTCACCCGCGCCGTCTCAGCGCCCCCCCGCGGCTCCAGCGCCCGCCCAGTGCCTCCTCCGCCCCGACCACTTTATTTCGGCACCGCACCCCCCCCTCCCCGCTCCGCCCCCTCCCCCGCGCCGTCTCAGCGCCCCCGCGCGGCTCCAGCGCCCGCCCAGTGCCCCCTCCGCCACGACCACTTTATTTCGGCACCGCACCCCCCCTCCCCGCTCCGCCCCCTCCCCCGCGCCGTCTCAGCGCCCCCGCGCGGCTCCAGCGCCCGCCCAGTGCCCCCTCCGCCCCGACCACTTTATTTCGGCACCGCACCCCCCCCCCGCTCCGCCCCCTCCCCCGCGCCGTCTCAGCGCCCCCGCGCGGTTCCAGCGCCCGCCCAGTGCCCCCTCCGCCCCGACCATTTTATTTCGGCACCGCACCCCCCCTTCCGCTCCGCCCCCTCACCCGCGCCGTCTCAGCGCCCCCGCGGCCCCAGCGCCCGCCCAGCGCCCCCTCCGCCCTGACCACTTTATTTCGGCACCGCACCCCCTC